CTCGATAGAACCTGAAGTCTCGAAGATGTTTAGTATCAGCAAATACTTTTCCCCTCTGCAAGTATAGAGGGACATTTCACGTGACCAGCAGGGATTTTCTCCTGAATAAAAAACTGTGTACATCATCGAAACGCACGAACCGTTTCTCAGACTGTAGGATCGTAGTTATCTTTCACAGTTCCCAAAACACCAAGAGAATGTCTCAATCCACCTCATCGTCTCTCGGATTTAGTACGTTTTATAACGTCATTGATGGGAAGTTAGAAAAAGGTGGGACTACTCGTCGGACAGTCAATCCAGCAACTCTTGATGCGAACCCTGAGGCTCCAATTAGCGGTCCTCAAGATGTCGACAGAGCAGTCCAGGCAGCCCAGAAGGCTGCGAAACTCTGGGCCCGGGTATCTTGGTCTGAGCGCAGGACGGCCTTAAAGGATTACGTTGCCGCTCTGGAACAAAACTCCGATGCCTTCGTTCAAATGGTCGTAAGGGAGCAAGGCAAACCTGTCCGTACTTCTTTCGCCAATGCCGCATAATAGATGCTAATACAGCGTAGCCTTTCTGGGCGAAGCAAGAGTTTGACCAGGCAGTGTCCTTTCTCAAGGGTTTCTGTGAGTTATCTCTGCCCACAGAAACAATCGAGGACACGGAAGAGAGGGAAGTGTTCACCCATTATGTGCCTATCGGCGTGACAGTAGGGATCATCCCTTATAACTATCCCGTGTTTCTCGCCTGTGGGAAGCTTGGACCCGCCCTGCTAACGGGCAACGCGTTCATCCTGAAATCATCACCATTCACGCCATACACCAGTCTCAAGCTAGCAGAGCTAGGCATGCGCTTCTTTCCTCCTGGCGTCTTTCAAGCTTTATCGGGGGACGATAATCTCGGGCCTCTCTTAACGCAGCACCCAGGGGTGAACATGATCAGCTTTACAGGTGAAATACTACAGAACTTCGATTTTTCCTCACATTACTAATCTTAAATATCGCAAGTGCAGGCTCGGCATCTACAGGGAAGAAGATAATGGCAGAATGTGCTGGCGTCCTCAAGAGAATGACCTTGGAACTAAGCGGAAACGATCCTGCGATCGTCTGCGCAGACGTTGACCCGGTCACTGTTGCGGGTAAACTCGCCTTATTCGCTTTCTGTAATGCGGGCCAGATCTGCATGTCTGTGAAGCGAATTTACGTCCATTCAACTGTTTACGACCAGGTCCTTGCTGCTATGGTAGAAACTGCAAAGTCGCTCAAGATCGGATCTGAAGAAGACGCTTTCCTTGGTCCTGTTACCAATGATGTCCAGTTCGAGCGCCTGAAAGCGCTTTTCAAGGGCCTCGAAACAAATGGGCTCACCATCGCTGTTGGGGGGGCAGAACCTCTACCCGAAAGAACCGGTTATTTCTTCCCAGCAACGATCGTTGACAATCCACCGGACGACGCAGCCATTGTTGAGCAAGAGCAATTCGGTCAGTCACTCCATCTCGCCTGTGTCATAGCCTGCCTACCTTGGAGGGCAATCACAGCTAATGCACGTCTCAGGGCCCGTCATACCCTTGCTGAAATGGTCCGATGAGTCGGATGTGATTCGTAGAGCTAACAGTACAGACACCGGGCTTGGAGCCTCGGTCTGGACGCGAGACAGCGGGCAGGCGAAACGTATCGCAGATCAGCTTGAGGCAGGGAACGTCTGGGTCAACACTCATGCGGAGATCATGCCGAATACCCCATTTGGGGGCCATAAGCAGAGCGGTCTTGGCAGGGAGTGGGGTGTGGAGGGTTTGAAGTCATACTGTAATCTGCGATCGGTGTACATGAAACCTTTCTGATAAAGTCTATCTACAGGAGTGACTCCCATCATAGGCAGAGTGTTATCATAGGTCTATCATCATGAATCCATACTTAGCCTTGGTGTTGCATCTGCCTCTCCGCCTTTGTGGCCAGCAAGATTCCTGTGCCGTACACCTGCACATATTATCTGTTGCTTCGACCCGCATCGCCCCCTAACCGCGACGAAAACGAAATGCAGTGGCACCAACAGTATTGAGCACAAGGGGCAGCAATAGGCTCGGTAGCCCTGCCGTGCATTTTGCTCATGATAAGGCGTGTTACTCGAATATGCAGGCTCGGGTCGCGCGAGACCTGTACCGCAGTGCGCAGGCCATTGATTTCAGCTCGTGTCCTTCCGAAAGCATGTATGGTACGCAATCAAGACCACCTATCATGCATGTATTTTAGCATGTTAGTCCTGTTCTGCATCGGAGACTGTATTCGCTGATCTAGTTGCAGCAGCACACGCATGAGGTAACGAGTAAAGGAAGATGGAAACGTAAGCCGCGAGCCCTGCCATTGTGGGCGAGTAGCATTCAGTGACTCGCTATCAATGGGTAGGCTGCGAGCACGATAGTGGCAGGGAAGATGTGGATGGCGATTGGAATTTGGAATATGGAAAGCAGAGAAACACCAACCCCGATCCCAGATTCCAATCAAGCCCGCTCGGCAAGTCGGAGAGTGTAGAATACTAGACAGATCGAGATTAACTATCACGGCACTTTCACGCCAACGACCTACTCTCCCTCCTTAAATACTAGGCTCATGCTGTACCTGGAATGTTCCTCCATGTTCAATAACGCAAGCCCACAAACACCGTTCTCGCTGACGTGATATCGCGTTGGGCAGGCACGTATTCATGCTGAGTCGAGGCACAGATCTCAACAACCGTTTCACTGTTGGAGCGAGTGCATCCATCGACTGCCTGTTGCTACTGCATAAGGCACGTTAGTTTAAAAAAAAATTGCCTGGGGGCTGGCGTGATGGGATCGCAGCATACCCCTCGAATAGGGGAAACCCAGTCGGTCGTGGATACGTTCTCACTCCTCTCGTCTAGCTCGTAGCAAATGGCTTGTTCACGCTCTTTCTGTGACGCTGTCGGTACCAGGCGTATGAGGAAAACAAGACAAGCAACATGGTACCGACTTCGACTGCGACCCAGTAGGAAGGGGCAGGAAGGATCAACTTTACCAGCAAAACTGATACCTTATTACAGCATAAGCCGGCATTTTCTTGCACATTGAAAACGTCAGCGAAACGAGAATGATCCCGCCCGCCCCTAGCCTTTACCCTTACTCTGATCTTCCAGTCACAGTCAAGGAGCGTCTAAGCAGCCACTTGGCTTGGGGAACATACCGAAAACCGTTTATCTTCGCCGTTGTAGCTTGATGAAGGGTGATATCGACGATGGCTGGACCTGTTGTTCCGTCTGCTGAAGAGATAGCCTACTACGAAGCCCATGCGGACGACAACATTGTTCCCAATATTATTGCATGCGCCACCGTCGCTGCGATCGGGGCGACAGTTTTCATTCTCTTACGCCTTTGGTCGAGAAGAATACATCACGGTCGCCTAAAGCTTGATATAAGTGACTATCTAGCACTAGCTGCGTGGGTTAGTATGCCCATTTCCATCATTTCTTGACTGCTAACAGATTGAAGTTCCTATACATTCCATACAACATCTTCTTCGGATTGATCACCCGATATGGCGCAGGACGGCATATCATCTTCGTTACCAACCCACGCCTCCTTCAGATAGTCAGTGCGCACTTTCGGGCTTACAGAACAATATCATTAGCAAAATAGCACTATGATCCTGACCAATGATACGTAACGCTCAGTTTAGCATCATCGACGAGACTCTCTACGCTCTCGTACTCGCCTTGCTCAAATTTAGCATCCTCAGTTTATATCGACAGATATTCGGGAATAATAAGGCTATATACATATGGACGTGGGCTCTCACGGCTGTCGTGGCCGCATGGTCTCTCCAGATCATTTTTTCAACCAATTTCCAATGCGTACCAATCTCCGCCTCATGGGACGTCACTCAGCAGGGGCGATGCATCAACTACGGCGTTGAGGCCCTCGTCGCCTATATCACTGACATCATCACCGACCTTACGATTCTCAGTATGCCCATCCCGGTGCTCCGGAAACTGAACGTATCCAAGTCAAAGAAGAGAATGCTAATGATTGTGTTTGCTGCGGGTGGGAGGTAAATATTCCCAATCGATTAAGACGCCGTTCGTGCTAACGTAGCTTTAGCGCTTGTATTGTGAGCATAGTCCAACTAGCCTATATCACTAAGCTTGGTAGCACTGCAGACCCGAGTTGTGAGTCCTCTGTCACCTTAATCTCTCCAATCCTAATGATTCTGTTGACACGCCCGTCTCGTTAGGGGACAACATCCCATCGGCCTTTTTGGCAAACACAGAGATCCTGATCGGATTCCTCGCCACCTCAGTCGCTACATACCGTCCTTTCTACCAGTTCATGTTCAACAAAGGCAAGGAGAAGTCGAGCTCTGCATATACAGTCTCAGACAATATCCGACCGAAAGATGGCCATTCGACGATCATATCCTCGGACAGGCGGCAAAGATCTGCGAACTCCAACAATGACTATGGCATCATGGTCACTGATGAAATCGAGCTTCTAGAGCATGGGCCCTAGTCGAAAGTCGACCTATTCCCCTTTCGCTGATTGGCTGCTTTGGGCGTAGTGTCTATATCGACTGTCTGAATACCATGAGACTTGCGCATGGATCCAGGATACATCCGTACACACAATTCCGATAATCCCCCCCAGCCACTGGTTTTACTATGAAGGGGTGAAATATGACTACTATTGTACTTACAAGGTAAGATGGAGCGGACACCATTGTTTCGCACTCATTAAATATCCATGTATATTTTATTTAATGGAATGAATTCGCTATCTCAACTTAATTGATGTCAGAAGAGAGTGAAGGCGAAGACGAAATGATATGGAATAAAACAAAAAATAAAACAAAAAAGACTTCGAATCGGAGAATCGAACCCCGGGCTCCACGGTACTGCTCCATTAACAGCCTGAGTCTGTACATTACGCACGCTCTCTAGGTAAGAAGGCAGTTACGACGTGGTCCGGGAAAAAAAGATGATTAAATAGTTGTTCACTACTCAAATGTTTGCTCCGAATCGGGGAATCGAACCCCGGGCTTAGCAGTGAGAGTGCTAAATGTTAACCACTACACCAATTCGGATTGATCGAGCAGATGCGCTCGCTTATTGGTTGATGGAATTTGGGCTTTTGATAACCATTATTAACCTAGACACAAGTGTGGGCTCGGCTGACATCGGTGTCGCTAGTTACCCTGTCCTCTAGTGCGATTCCGCCGATGGATAAAGCCAAAAGATACGCAGTTCAAGCGCTTGCTATCATTCGCCTGATGACAGATACAGGACTTCACGATTCAAAGACTAGGGATTGGAAGTATCATATCGTTTCGGCGATATCTCCGAAGCATATGAAGCTGAGCGATAATGATGATGGTTCTGGATGGAATTGGAACTGGTCGACTGGATCCTGGATTGCATTGCATCAAGTTTCATTGACAGAACCACCGGAGCATCTAATATAATTTGAGCATCAGGTGCGGCTATTAGGGGAGGAGAAAGATGATCATGCTCGCATTTATATCGCTCATCAATCGAGCTTCAGCATTGTGGCTGGTGAGTTGCTGGGTGGCTAAATGCCCCGCGTCTCCCGGAGGTTGCTGCTTGATGCAGGCGCTTCACCAGACAGTGATCTCATCCTCGGCTCATCCTGTCCAGAAAATAAGGTCATCGCACGCCTCATCTACATATCACTCTCATTAAGGGTTTTGCTATTCCTCCCCACAACCCAGCACATATCGTGTATGACAAGCGCCTCGTAGGATGGACTCCTCACGCACGTACGCCGACCATGCCTTTGAGCCCATCGTCATCATATCAAAACACGCATTTCACGATACGCACAGAAGACTAGAAGCCACGATACCAGCCCTCGATAACACATTCCGGCAGCACAGTCTTCGGGGCGACGACGAAGGCACTCGAAAAGCGCTCGAGGCTCTGCCACCGCTGAACAATTTCTCTGCATCAATGCGCAACTTCGGAGGTCTCATGACTGCTATCGGACAGAGAAGTCAGGTGGTTGTATATGAGATTGGAAACCCTTTGATCGCCATAAAGCTCGGAAAACATATACCGGATATCTTGCTGCATACCCCGCGGCGCGTCTTGTTATGCCTGGAGGATGGAAAGGTCAAGTTCAAATTTGATCCCTTACTGCCGATCGTCGCCAGGCATGGGATACCGCAGGTGAATCAGATTGCGGAGGCGTTGGATGCGAAGTTGACGAGTGCGCTAGAGCTCATTGCTAGAGGAGACGATTGAAAGAAAGATGCTCTATCACTAGAACCTCGTCGTTCTGCAGCAAACAACCTGCCAGTTGTCTTCAGACTTAATCCCCATCGAGCATAAAGATGAATTGAGGTCTCACAACTCTCCAGTCAACTAGAGCAAAAAGGTACCTCCTACCCGATGATTGTCGCGGACGCGTAGGATTTAGTGGCGACACCTCACTAAGCATGCGAGGCTTGATTGGCCCATGCTGTGTGTGTACCTATGTAGGTAGGTGGCTTCGAGTACCCCGCCAAAAAGACCCTTGGGTGCGGGCAGTGGCATCGAGTGGCGATGGCAATTGCCCCTCCATGCAGACCAGGTATGAGAACACGCCTGCCTTGAGACTCATACCTTCGAACGTCGCGAGATCAACGGGCCTCGGAACGGCTGCATCCCATCTCGCCTCCCGACTTTCCGTCATTCAGCGGACGCCCTAGTCCGACGTGATTCAACATTCTTCATGCTGTGAATATCGACCCAGCATCATCATTGACTCAACAAGCATATCCTCCAACACCGTATTAGTATTCTTGCTCATGCTTGCTATCACTCTCATGCCATCGTACTGCCTCATGACCGCCACCTAGGACATATCCCGACCTCACGTCTCAGCATCGCAGTCTGCCGCATAGTGTCTCATACGACTTACGTTACTTCTTCATTCACACCATCAAACAGAATGGCAGATCCAAAAGAGCATTTTTATCGCCATTTCCAGGGCGAAGTAACTCGTACATCTTCTCATCCAACCCTTTCAACTGCAATACTAACTCAATCCCAGGTGTCCAAGAAGAGATCGAGAACCTCGCCACACTCTCAAGCATAGGAGGCGAGCGCCAAGATGGCATCAACTCCGTCTTGGGCAACATATCACGGCTCTCAAAGGAAGTCATGGACGCTGGGGACTACATCCCAGTGTACGATCAACGCACCTACTCACAAGCCATCAAAGCCCTCACACAAAAGCTCAACGAAACAACTGGGAGTTTCGCGCCAAAGAAGCGATTCCAATTCAAGAAAGCCGCTCCCTCACCCTCAAGCTCAAATACAAGCGACGAAGTCGCAAACCCAGTATCAATGAGCCGCAGAGTAGTGTCCAGTGACGGCGGAAACGACTCAGACCAAGATACACTCAACCCACTCCCCTCATTCCCCAACACCCATACCTTCACAGCAGGGAAAGATTACAACGAGGAACTCTCCCAATCCACCAGCCCGCGCATCCGCAAACCTAGCTTCTCAACAGCGAAAAACATCGTCATCACCTCGCACACGAGTCTACACATCATCCTCCCCTCCTCCGCCTCCCACGCCACGTCGTCCGGCAGCTTGACAGACCTCACCCGCTGCATAGTCGACATGACGGTGCCCACGCATCTCGACTCGGGCACGCCCTTCGCTGGGCTCGCACTGAAGGACATCGCTGACTCGCTGCTAGTCTGCGGAGCGGTGAGCGGCGCCGTGCATGTCACGGGGCTCACGAACTGCGTCGTGGTTGTGAAGGCGAGACAGGTACGGATCCATGAGTGCAAGGATGTGAGGATCTATCTCTGGTGTGCGAGTCATCCTATTATTGAGGATTGCGAGGGTGTGGGTTTTGCGCCTTTGCCGGTGTTTTATGTGAGTTTTGATCTACGAAATCGAGCATGGTGAGGGATGCTAATGGTGATAGGCCGATGATACGTCGCCCTCTGAGATGAATCAGTGGGATAAGGTGGATGACTTTAAATGGCTCAAGGCCGAAGCCTCGCCCAACTGGCGCGTGGTGCCTGAGGACGAGAGACTGAAGGATGGGGTTTGGAGGGATAAGGTCTGTGGCGGTCCGAGTCTGGGGACGGATGATATTCTAAAAGAGGTGGGTGTTTTGAAGTCATGATGGGGGCCGCTTCTCGATAAGGGTATTGCACCCGTGGAGTCATTTTGCATCACGGAGCTATGTTTCTCTGCTTCACGAGGGCGGATGAGAGGGGCAGACGGTTCACGCATTTAGGGGAGCGTGGGGATGAGGAGCACGATACCCTTGGATCGAGGACACGATGAAATGATGGTTTATGGCAGTATCATTATCATTATCGTCGTAATACCCTAACGCCGCTCAAATGCTATTCCTCGCCGTAGCTTCTTTCCGTCGCTGGCCAGAGCCACCTTCGTCCATGCTTGTTCGTGCCAGGTTCCGCTGTTTCGCCCTGCCTTCTCCGACGCGAGCCTATTCGAGGCTGCATTGGCGGTGTCTCCGCGTAGTCGGACTAGCGCATCGCAGTCGAAATCGTTCGTTTGCCGTATCGGGTATTCGTGATGTCGCGTGGCTCTATTCTGGGTATCATCGGTGGTTCGTTCGTCTTCCTCCCCGCACCTCTCCGCGTCATTCTTCTGCCCTTTCCGTACTTTTGTTTGTCATCTCCCCTCCTCCAACTCACCGCCCCCCAACATCCCTCAGCGCCCCAAGAACCACCCCCTGCCTCCTGATCCGCTCCTCCAACCGCTCAATCTCCGCCTCCTGCTCCATGACCGTCCTATCCAAGTCCGGCAGCTGACTCCTCACCAAGCCCCGCGTCTTCTGGAACTGGTGCTTCAGGCTGCCTGTCGCGACGGGAATGTCCTTCAGCGTCAGCTCGCCGGTTCCTGGTCTTCTGGATGAGGAGGGTGTGGGCGTTGCGTGGGCAGGCGTGTTGGTTTGTGAGGGTGTGGCTGTGATTGTGCCTGCGGGGAGAGTGCGCAGACGGGTTAGGATGTTGGCCAGTTCTGAGAGGACGTCGAGTGTGTCGGGGTTTAGGGCGGATGGGAGGGTGAGGTTGGAGGGGGGTTGGGTGGACATTTTGTGGGATGCGCCGAGTTGGCGGTGAGACTGTAAGTGGAAGATTTGTAGTCGTCAGGCTAGCGGGCAGAGCGTTCGCTTGGCGCTATGCTGTCGTGAGACGCGCCTTAGAGGAAGCGTTGATGTCAGAGTTGTGTTGAGATGTCGAAATGGAATGTGAAACCTTGAAGACGGACTCTTGATGCGCGACCACACTACAGCTGGAGGTGATTGCCGCATGTGGTTAAAGTGGGCGAGACAGACCAATTGTGGGGTAAGATCTGCCCCTGCCTCGATGGGCCTACCAAGGAAATGAATGATTTCTGTGTACATGTACCTAAGGTAGGTAGTCAATTTCACCCAAGTTGAGTTCGCCATTCCATCTCAGTCACCTTCAAAGCCAAGTTAGCTTATCAATTCGCTTTGTATGGACTGATTATGCAGTTTCTTAATGTGGTATATATTCTCACCTCGTTAAAACTAAGCCGGCCAATTATCACAGGCCAGGGGGTGGCAGAATGCTTGAGGAGAACGCTCAAAGATGTCTTTACTTATTTGGAGATTCTCAATGTGTAGATAATGTGCTTAGTATCCTTAAGATTTACTGTCTGAAAAGATGAAAAAGTGGACACTCAAGAGACCGAGAGGATATCATATTCAAAACATCCTCGATTTCTTCATACTGAGGGCAAAGCACGCATCCGAGAACGAGAGCACTGGGAGCCATAACGTCAATAGGGAGTCCTATTCAACACAATCATAAAAATACAGTGCAAAACCAAGTCTTGACTACTCATCGAGACGATTGTACTCAGCTAGAGACAGCTTATCACATCTTACAGAAAAATGTCATTAGTTATCATATGGGTAGGTATAATGGAATTTAGGCATCACAGCCTTTGGCGCCCAGTGCATCGCAACATTGTAATCCGGATCACTACTACGATGATACAATGCAGTATTCTTGCTCGTAGGTATCTTTTCTATCCTGTACCAAACTGGCTCAGTTTATCTATGCGT